ATCTCAAAAGCATTTAGTGAGAGCAAAACTGTTGATGTTATATATATTGATTTCAGTAAAGCATTTGACAAAGTGTGCCACTCGTTGCTCATCTATAAACTTGATCTTCTTGGTCTTCCACCTAATTTTCTACGTTGGATCTCTTCATACCTCTATGATAGATCACAAAGGTTATTGTTTAAAAATACTATCTCTGACGTCATTGATGTTACTTCAGGAGTGCCTCAGGGTAGCCACCTAGGCCCGATTCTGTTCTTGCTTTTTATAAACGATATTTCTACAGATATAAAATTCTCCAAAATTTTAATGTATGCAGATGGTGTAAAACTTTATAAATCGTACGTTTCAATTGAAGAAAGGTCTTTGCTACAATCAGACTTAAACAGCATGGCTTACTGGTGTAAAGTAAATCTTATGCCTCTAAATCTTAAGAAATGTAAAGTAATGTGCTTCTCGCGAAGAGCTGTTCTGCCAGTTTCTTATATAATAGGTAACCATAACCTGGAACAGGTATACAATTTTGGGGACCTTGGTATCACAATGGATCCTAAGCTTAATTTTAATCTTCACATTAATGTGACAGTCAACAAGGCTAAAGGTGTACTTGCATTTGTGAAACGATGGTCAAAAGAATTTAGTGACCCGTATATCACTAAAACCCTGTTTACAACATTATTTAGGCCGATTCTGGAATACGGCTCGGTGGTTTGGAATCCAAGGTATCAAATTTACTCAGACAAGATAGAATCAATTCAAAAACAATTCCTACTTTTTGCTTTAAGAAATTTCCGATGGGATTCTCAATATAGTCTTCCACCTTATACGAGTCGCTTAAAACTTATTAACCTTCCTACACTTGCCAGTCGCAGGGAAATGCTTGGTATAATTTTTATGGTTAAATTACTGACAGGCTCAATTTCAAGTCCGTCTCTTCTGGCTGATGTAAGCTTTAATGTTCCGTCACGCGTATCAAGACACTTTTGTCCCATATTTCTGAAAGCTTGTAAAACCAATTTTGGATTGCACGACCCACTCCGTTGCTTATGCCAGGATTTTAACTCTCATTCCAGCACGTTTGATATATCAGATCCGCTTTTCAGCATTAAGAAAGCGATACTCTCCTCTCTCAATAAGTAAATTATTGACATAAATACATAAAATCAGCTGATGAATTTAGTTCTGTAGCTGAACAGTTTTAGATCTCGACACTTAACAAACTCCTGCCTATCGTGACTCGGCACAAAAATTTAAAATATTGGTTCCGTACGTCATGCGGACTGCGCCCCTCGTGCGGATGGGCGGGAATGGAGGGTAAAAACCGTTGGGATATTATTATTATTATTATTAGGTGCATTTAGTAAGGCAGCATCACTGCCGCTGCCCCCTGCAGAGTCTGCCATCCCGGCTTCCATATTGCCTGCAACGTCGATTATCTGCTTAACTGAAGCGGTCACCAATTTGTGGGGAATAACAATCCACAAATGATTTTTCTTACAACGCAAAGA